AATAAACACCTAAAATATAACAAAAAATCCTTTAAACTGCTCCGTCCGTTTAAAAATTACTCACCAAAATGCTGTAAACACGGAGATAGAAGCGGCGGTTTCTTTTGCTTCCTAGGAAGCAAAAACAGATGGGAGGCGGAGATCAGCAAGAGCTCCGAGGGAACACTCCTTTCACCCCCTCTAGAAATAAATCCAGAGGGGGTTCAGGGGTTCTACCTCTACTCTTGCGTTCTCTGTCCCTTCCCTTTGCCCGGGAAGGGATTTCCGAGCCGCGGGCCAGCTGATGCGCGCTGCGCTCCGCGGCTCTGACACTTCCCCAGCTGGACGGCTAAAAGCTAGCCGCCATCGCCGTCGCCTCCCACCGGAAGCTCCCATCATTATATTAATTTGAAAATATTTAAATGATGGGCTTCATAGTTCAACTTTACTTACATGAGTTGTTTTTACTGTAGAAAGCCTGTGATGATTAGTTTAAAGTTAGAAAATTGGATAAACAGTTACCAGTTTTACTAATGATGATACAGTGATTCATTCTCAAAGGATATGGAATTAATTCTGTTGTAAAATACTTTTTTTCTTTATAATAATAATAATAATAGTAGTAAAGTTGGAAGGGACCTTGGAGGTCATCTAGTCCAACCCCCTGCTCGGGCAGGAAACCCTACACCATTTCGGACAAATGGCTGTCCAGTCTCTTCTTAAAAACTTCCAGTGTTGGAGCATTTACTGCTTCTGGAGGCAAGCTGTTCCACTGATTAATTGTTCTCACTGTCAGGACGTTTCTCCTTAGTTCTAGGTTGCTTCTCTCCTTGATTAGTTTCCACCCGTTGCTTCTTGTCCTGCCTTCAGGTGCTTTGGAAAATAGCTTAATTCCCTCTTCTTTATGGCAGCCCCTGAGATATTGGAATACTGCTATCATGTCCCCCCTTGTCCTTCTCTTCGTTAAACTAGACATACCCAATTCTAGCAACCGTTCCTTATATGTTTTAGCCTCCAGTCCCCTAATCATCTTTATTGCTCTTCTCTGTACTCTTCTAGAGTCTCAACATCTTTTTTACATCGTGGTGACCAAAACTGGATGCAGTATTCCAAGTGTGGCCTTACCAAGGCATTGAAGAGTGGTATTAATACTTCACGTGATCTTGATTCTATCCCTCTGTTAATGCACCAGTTTGGTGTCGTCTGCAAATTTGATGAGTTCCCCATCTATCCCTTCATCCAAATCGTTGATGAAGATGTTGAAGAGTACTGGGCCCAGAACAGAGCCCTGGGGCACCCCACTACACACTTCCCTCCATATAGATGCAGTTCCATTGAGGACCACTCGCTGAGTACGGCCGGTCAGCCAGCTACGGATCCATCTGGTGGTGGTTCTGTCTACCCCACATTTTTCTATCTTGTCAAGTAGTAGGTTGTGATCTACTGTATCAAATGCCTTACTGAAGTCCAAGTAAATTATGTCCACAGCATTCCTCTGATCCACTAATTTTGTCACTTGGTCAAAGAATGCAATAAGATTTGTCTGGCATGATCTATTTTTGACAAACCCATGTTGGCTTTTAGTAATGGTGAGCCACTGTATGGGTAGAGCAGGGGTAAGCAACCCAAAACACTCAAAGAGCCACTTGGACCCGTTTCCCACTGAAAACAAAACACTGGGAGCTGCAAAACCCTTTTGATATCTAAAATGAAGATAACACTGCAGATATCCTTTTTTACCTTTCTTTTCTTTTCTTTATACTTACATATATATATATAAATGGAATGAATAAAGCGCGTTCACCAGGAGAGTTTAAAGTTAAAATACTTCAATTAAAGTATTTTACTATATTAAAAGGTTGCCAAGCTTTCGTTGGGAAAACTCCCCAACATCTTCAGGGCTGAGAGACCGTTTCTAACAAGGTGATTCAAACGGGTTCCATAGACATCTGCGCGTGGTTCCTAGACTGTGCTAGCATTCCCTGCTGAACAGCTGATAGGTGGGGGGGGAGAATCGGAGTAAAGATTTCTTCTGTCGTTCTCTCGAGCACTTTTGTTCACATTTCCGTCGACCTCAGGGGGTATTGTTAAAGTTATGTTCCGCCCTCTCCCGGCAGTATTGGCTCTCGTTGCAGTGGGGGGGTTTAACCTGAATATTGACCTACGAGGGAAGATGAGCATGGGGGACACCATGATGGAGGAAGATGATTCAAACATTGAAAAATACCACATCCAGTTGATGCTTGTACATGCGAGCGAAGATAAATATGGGAGCACGCAGCAGAGGAAAGATGTTAAATTGCAGCCGATGAAGCCCCGCCTTCATGGTAGGATACACAATGACATCAAACTAAACCCCCCCACTGCAACGAGAGCCAATACTGCCGGGAGAGGTCCTCTCCCTCTCTCCCTTTCCTCACTTTCTCTCTTTCCCCCCTCTCTCTTTTCTCTCTCTCTCTTTCTCTTTCCCCTCTCTTTCCTCTCTTTCCTTTCTCTTTCTCTTTTCTCTTTCTTTTTTTCTTTCTTTCCTCTCCCTCTCTCCCTTTTCTCACTTTCTCTCTCTTTCCTCTTTCTCTTTCCTCTCTCACTCTCTCTTTCCTTTCTCTCTTTCCTCTCCCCTATCTCTGGTTGCCCCTTTCAGTGACTCTGGGCAGCTTACAGTTCAGAAAGAATTCGGGCAAGCGGCGTTTCGAAGGTCAGGCCGGGCCTTGGTTGGGCCCTCGTGGGGCACAATTAGGGGCGGCTCTGCAGAGTCCCGGGTGCCTGACTCACCGAGGAAGCCAGCTGGGAGCCTACAATTAGCAGGCCCAATTAGCAGGAGGCAGCTGACATGGACACCCCTGTGGTGATCAGGTGGCCCCCGAGCTCCCCGCTGAGCTGGACGGGATTCCTGGTCAGCCGGCCATGGGGTGGGAGTGGCTCCCTCGCCAGGGCCGCTTGACCTCCCTGGCTGGCCGGCCTGTAGGAGGGCGAGCCAGGCCAGGCTGGGCAGTGGGAAAGGAGGCGTGCTACGATTTGCACAGCCCAGGTCCTGGTCCAGAGGACTGCCCCAGTGGATGGGGGGCTGTGAGGGGAAAGCCCCTTCCGATACCCAGAAAGCAGCACTTCCTCTCCTGCTCCGGGCATGGGAAAATGGCCGGAGGTCCCGGGAAGGCCAAGCGTGGGAGGGGCAGGAGGCAGCAGAAGGCACCCGGGGTACCACGGACCGGCCTAGAGAGATATGTGGCTGGCTCGGCTGCCAGGGAGCAGCTCGGGGACGGCCCAGGGCTTGATGCCCCCACCGGCGGCCGCCCCAGCCAGGACTCTCGCCCGGCCTGGTCCGGGGAAACGCATGGCCGGCTCAGTTGCTGAGGGAGTGGCCTGGGGACGGCCCAGGGATTGATGCCCCTGCTGGCTGCCACCCAGCTGGGACTGCCACCCGGCTCGGCCCGGGGAGACGCGTGGCCAGTTCGGCTGCCCAGGGACAGCCCAGGGAGCGATGCCCCAGCCAGCCGCTGGCCCAGCTGGGACTACCGTCTGGCCTGGTGAGATGCATGGCTGACTCGGCCGCTCAGAGAATGGCCCAGAGATGGCCCAGGGAATGATGCCCCAGCTGGGACTGCCGCCTGGTACAGGTAATCCGGGGAGACACACCACCTGCCCTGCGGCTGCTTCGTAGTGGTGCTCCGCAGACTCAGAGCCCCCTCCTGTCACTGACCCTCCATCTCCGGTGCTGCTTGGCCAATGGTCGTGCCGGCTGGGCATCACAGGGACTGCTCTCCCTCGGTGTTGTGGCTTGCGGGAGGGCTGGCCTGCTCAGCAGAGGCTCTGGCGGGCCGCTCCTAGCGGGGATCCCAGGTCTTACCCACGCGGCTCCCCAGCCATGTACGCCTCAGACAGGACCAGCCCGGGAAAGGGACTTCCTGACTGCCCTTCTCCCAGGGGGCGGGGCACCCAGGCTCAGGGCCAATCAGGAGCCCTGCGATGGGTCAAGTCCGCATGAGAGAAAGAGAGAGAGGGAGGGAAGTGCAAGTGCCTCTCTCTCCTTGTTTCTCGTACAAATGGCAGAGGAGGCTCCGGAGCCACCGGGGAAGGCTCAAAGAGCCGCATGCAGCTCCGGAGCTGTGGGTTGCCGACCCGTGGACTTTACTATTGGTACAGGGAGTTTGAAGAGATGAATCATAAAACAAAGAGGCCGACTATGGAGCAGATTATAAAGTCATGTGCAAGATTCAAGTTAAGTTAAAGTAGAAGAAAGCCAATCAATTTCCACAATATGAGCTTCAGTATATATTTACAATTCTCAAAGCATCAGGATTTATTTTGAGTCCTGAATTTCATTGATAAGGAACCAGGGGAAGTATGAAATGGTATCAAATAATTGTTATGGATTAATGAAAAAAGAGACTGCCAAAGATCAAGAAAGCAAACTGGATATAAGAACAGATGGCAGAAATTGCCAAGAAAGGAAGAGAAGCCAAAGACAAAGCTTTCAGGAAGGAATTTAACAAGAATTTCAGAAGTAGTATTACAGTGACATCTGTAAAGACATTATAGATGGAAATAGTAATAGCACTTAGACATATACTGCTTCACAGTGCTTTACAGCCCTCTCTAAGTTGTTTACAGAGTCAGCATATTGCCCTGAACAATCTGGGTCATTGTTTTACTGACCTCAGAGGGATAGAAGGCTGAGTCAACTTTGAGCCGGTGAGAATTGAACTGCCTATCTGTTGGTAGCCAGCAGTCAGCAGAAGTAGCCTACAGTACTGCATTTTAACCACTGTGCCACCATGGCTCCATGCCACCACAAAAATACAAGGAAAGTGCGCAGCTGCCTCGCTCGGTGGCGCAGGCCACACTCGTTGCCTTTTCCCCTCCCCACCCCTCCTCGGGCCCTGCGGCACCGGTGGGCTCACCCAGGGCCGCCCCGCACAGAGCAGGAGGATCGCGGTGGTGGCGGGCAGGCCGGGCGGCCTAGCCCGGCCTGTCCCGCCGCGGCCTGTCCTGTCCCGTCCTGAGCGGCGCCCGCCTTGCCGTCCCCCGCCGCCTCATCCTCCGCCATGGCGCAGCAGCAAGTGAGCAGCTCTCAGAAGGCGCTGATGCTGGAGCTGAAAGGGCTGCAGGAGGAGCCGGTGGAGGGCTTCCGCATCACTCTGGTCGACGAGTCCGACCTGTACAACTGGGAGGTGGCCATCTTCGGGCCACCCAACACGCTCTACGAGGGCGGCTACTTCAAGGCTCATATTAAATTTCCTATGGATTACCTGTATTCACCACCTACCTTCAGATTTCTGACCAAAATGTGGCATCCGAACATTTATGAGAATGGGGATGTATGTATTTCAATTCTTCACCCACCTGTAGATGATCCTCAAAGTGGAGAATTGCCATCGGAACAGTGGAACCGAATCCAGAATGTCAGGACTATCCTGCTGAGTGTAATCTCCTTGCTTAATGAGCCCAACACATTCTCTCCAGCAAATGTGGACGCCTCCGTTATGTTCAGGAAATGGAGAGACAGCAAAGGGAAAGACAAAGAATATGCGGAAATCATCCGGAAACAAGTGCAGGCCACCAAGGCGGAAGCAGAGAAGGACAGTGTGAAGGTGCCCACCACGCTGGCTGAGTACTGCATCAAAACTAAAGTGCCTTCCAACAACAGCAGCTCCGACTTGCTTTATGACGACCTGTATGACGACGACATTGATGACGAGGAGGAAGACGCCGATTGTTACGACGCCGACGATTCCGGCAACGAGGAGTCGTGACCTGTCCCCTCTGACCCTCCCTTCCACCCCGCGCGCCCCAAACTCCACCCCGTATTGTACTGCCCCGCCGGTTTTGCCAGAGGGGGGGGAGGGCACAGCAGTAAATCCAAAGACCGTTCAGCAAAAAAAAAAAGAAGAAAAAGAGATATATACCTACAAGGGGGGCGGGGGGGAGAAGACCCCATGCAAAACGTGCGTTTCCTGCTTTCTCTTCTCGTACGGAGTCTCGATTTGGTTCCTCCCCCCCCAAAATTTCCTGGTTCTTTGGCTTCCCTAGCGAGAAAGACCTGCGGCGGATGCTCTTGGATCGCATCTCCTCTCCTGTCCCATCACTGTGTTTTTGATTCCCTCCCCTCTCCCCCCCTTTTAAAAGACAGTACCCTCCCCTTGCTCCCCCTCCCTTCCCTTCTTCCGGAGAGTTCACAGCACAGCAAAACAGGCTTGCTCTGTTGTTTAGGTTCTCGAATTAAACCCAATCTTTCATCAAGAGGTTTGGATGTATTTTAACGCCCAGCAGAGACCGTGGAGAAGGGGGAAAATGCTCCCTGCGAGCTGTGTAGAGTCCCCCCGCTTCCTTCCTTCCGGAGGCTTCTTTGCTGCTCCTTCTATGCGCATTTGTTTAGCCTCCTGGTGGTTCTGCTGCTGGTTGTTTTTTTTTTCTCCTCTTTTGTTAGATTTCCCTTTTTCCCCAAGGCGGTGAGTGGAGGGCACAAAGCTTCTGTGTTTTGGAACTGGTGGTTGAAAACGCCCCCCCCATTATTCCAATTTCCCGTCAGGATGATGGGCGAGTGGGATTAGCAGCTTGGCAGGGAGGGCCGAAAGTTCCACGGCAGATCAAGAGGCGGGGGGGGTGAACCGTCCAGGTAGGGGAGAGCGGGGATGGGGGGCCAGTTGTCTTGTGATATGAATCTTCCAATAAACACTTTGAAACACTGAAAAAAAAAATACAAGGAAAGTCTTCCAAAAGATCAACAAACTTAGAAAGAGGTTCCAACCTTGAAACAGCATTCTGAAGTATTTCAATAAAGATTACTGATTTCAAGAAAACCAAACAAAGATGGAAAGTGTAAATTAACTTTTGGTACAGTAAAGAAAACATTGTGAGGGTACCTTAATTATGATAATATCTAGTACAAAAAAGGAACCTAAAACAGCACCTCAGTCATTACCAAATTGGAAAGTAATAGAAATTTATGAATGTCTTCATAAATATAGAAGAGGCAGAAGGACAATCAGTGAAATTTCTAACTAAACAGTATCAGGAAATCTAGAGAACACTAGCATGGCCAATAGATTCAAAGTAGTCAGTCCATATATCAATGCCAAAGGAAGACTTACTGAATGTGTAAACTCATACAGTATCCTTAATTCCACATGCTAGCAAATATTTGTTAGAGTAATCCCACACATTAGAACTTTACATGAAAAGAGCAATGCTAAATGTTCAAGATATGAGATCTTGCTGATGTATGTTGAATAACTGAGAAAGCAAAAGAAATCCAAATAAGCCATAGTCTGTATAAGATATGGCAAAAATACTGACTAGGTTGGCAGAGGAGTCAAATAAGGCTGTTCACTCATTCAACTATATACTTGAATACATATTGAGAGAAGCTGTATTGAAAGAAGACGAGAATGGTTTTAAAACTGATGGAGGAAACATCAGTGATGTGCTGTGATGATGATGCTGCTCTGATAGCTGAAAGTGAAATTCAGAGAACGTAGTGAAAAAAATGTGACTTAGACCAGCATAAATAGGGTAGGGTACACTCAATTAAAATAGAAGATGCATCAGAAGCTTTAAAAAATGAAAAGGTAGACAATATTAAAAAAAAGTGTAAAAGTCTATACAAATCTAAAAAAAGGGACCTGAGCATTAGAGAACATAAAAGATTAATATGTGAGAGACTATATCAAATTAGAGATAGCATTAATACAGGTAATCCTTGACTTACAACAGTTTGTTTAGTAACCTTTCAAAGTTACAATGACACTGAAAAAAGTGACTTATGACCATTTTTCACACTTATGACTTTGAAACATCCCCATAGTTATATGATTTACATTCAGATGTTTGACAACTGATTCACATTTATGACCATTGCAGTGTCCTGGGGTCATGTGATCACCTTTTGCAGTCTTCTGACAAGCAAAGTCAATGGGGAAACCAGATTCACTTTAAGAACTGCAGTGATTCACTTAGCAACTGTGGCAAGAAAAGCCGTAAAATGGGGTAAAACTCACTTAACGAATTTCTCACTTAACAACATAAATTTTGGGTTCAATTGTGATCATAAGTTGAGGACTGCCTGTATATCGACCTAGATGCTCATTAAGTCTAATTTTGGCCACAGGTCACATCATCTGATGAATTTTGAGTACTGCCGTGCAGAACTTTAGATGAGATGGGCAGCAGGCAAATCTAATAAATGAATAATAAACTTAGCAACATTGCATGTTGTACCATGTTGGTATCAAATAGCAACATTGCATGTTGCAGCACGGTTGATATCTTAAAACAGCAGGGAGGTGTAGAATTGTCTTGTGTGCCCTGGGTATTTATACAGTAATGGTGAAATGAGGCTAGTGTGGATGTTTCCATAGTATTAGGGACTGAGAAGCACATGCTCCCTTGTTTCTGTGTGTCCAGAGTCACAGGGGTATTATCTTTCTGGATAAGGAATCTTCCTGTATCAGTTTTTGAGGACAGCCGAGGAAAGGGTAGAAAGATCCAGTCTTTAGGGACTTCAAGTTTAATTAGGGATGCTGTAGGGAAAGCAGATTACTTATTGGATTCACTGGCAATAAAGGTGGGTCGTGGTTAGGTCCAGCTGGTGATCTGTGTTTGCTACAAGTTGTTTAATGAGTAAAAATGGACTTGTTTAAGGTACTCTTGTTTTATTGAAGCAAAAAGGGAAAAAGTGTTTTCCTTGTTCTGCATTCTCCACAGCTCAACAAGACAATTAAGTGAGTTTTGCCCCATTTTTTGACCTTTCTTGCCACAGTTGTTAAGTGAATTTACTGTAATTGTTCAGTTAGTAACATAGTTGTTACATGAATCTGGCTTCCCCATTGACTTTGCTGGTCAGAAAGTCACAAAAAGTGATCACATGTCCCTGGAACAATGCAACTGTCATACGTACATGCCAGTTACCAAGCACCCAAATTTTGATCAAATGACCATGGGGATGCTGCAATGGCCCTAAGTGTGAAAAATGGTCGTAAGTCACTTTTTTCAGTGCCGTTGTAATTTTGAACAGTCACTAAATGAGTCATCATAAGTCCAGAACTACTTGTATACATTGTATCTAATGCTGTTGTCTCCCTTTTAGAAAACCGTGGCACAGGGATATTGTTTTCAGTGCTGTCATAAATTCTAATAGTTGTTAAACAGGGCAGTTAATTGAGGACTATCTATATGCTATTGCTATTTAACTGGAATTTTGGCTATTGTTTTCTACGATAGAAGCATTATGATGCCCTTATTTAAAAATGAACATGACTTTCTGTTACATATTTATATGAAGTAAATCACCATGTAGGGATTTACTTCTAAAAGACAACTGAAAATTACAAAAATAGAAAGTTACAAAGCTTCTGCCTAGACTTGTTACCTTTATTTGAATTTTTGGTTAAATTACTGATAGTTCTTAATTTACAATCATTCATTCAGTGACCATTCGATGTTATGATGGTGCTAAAAAAATGGACTTACAACCTGCACCCAAAGTTATGTCTATTGTAGCATCCTTACAATCATGATTAAAATTCAGCCCTTTGGCAGCCTGCTCATTCTTAATTTACAGGGACATTCCAACTCCCACACACCCACCTATCTCTCCCTCCCCATTTATGCCCTTTTACTGCCTGTTAACCTGCCTTGTGGGGTTCCAAACAGACCCAGAACTGCGGCTCTGGGCTTACTTGCTGTGCCCTGAGAAATCTCAGCTGTCCTAGCAAGCGCCAGCAAGCATTCATTTTTTCAGCTACCTTCTCTCCCCAGCCCCACATGGATCCCCAGCTTGGCCCATCAACTGCCAGCAAACATTTTATTTGCTCCTGAATGCAGTGCCAGGATTGCCAACGTTAAATCAATGTGATCATGTGATATCTCTCTTTATGACTGCATCAACTTAATAATGGCAATTCCAGTGCTAGTTGTGTTTGTAAGTCAAGAATTTAAATATTGGTGTTGAGTCTGGCCTTTCTTGTCTAACAGTCTTTAAGATGAGCAACACTTTCTGGTTTTGTTGACATGCTAAATTATACTTAATCTAAAGTGGAAGCAGACATTTCCATTTTTCTTTCTGCTTCACCTAGCAAGATAGAACTTGCAAATCTAGGGAGATTCTATGTTAATTTCCATTATAACTAACCTCAGATAATAATGTTTGCCAGATTCTTTCAATTAAATTTTAATCCATTTGTCACTGGTAGTGCAATAAAGAAATACAAAGCAACAAACTGTACTTGGTGCTGGAGATCATTAATGAGAGGCTTTTTGAAGCTTCTCCCAGTAAAATGGGGAAGGAAAACCTGTTCCTTGATTGCCTCTTTGCTTAAATTTCCCCTATACCAGGGGTCTCCAACCCCTTGTCCGTGGTCCAGCACCGGTCTGCACATGCCAGAAACCTGTCCGTGCAAACAAGCAAAGCCCCATTGGCAGGATGCAGGCAGCGCGCAAAACCACGGCTCCTCCTGTCCACAATAAAACCTCTTTCTACAGAACTTGTCCCTGGTGCCCAAAAGGTTGGGGACCTCTGCCCTACACTACCTTATATGCAAATTTCATAATCCAATCCATTAAATGGGGCAGGTTTTTTGATAGTATATTGGAAAGTGTAGCAGATTCCCTCCCCATCTAACTGACCTATAAGCCACTCCTAGATTAAAGAACCTCCCAGCAGCAGAGAGTCACAAGGCACTTTCAAGCAAACATGTAAAAATATAAAACATTAACAATAAGGCTTGTTTCAGAAACCTCTGTCTTTTCTCTCCTTCTTCTCTTATTGGTTTGAATTACATGGCTATCCTAAAATAGACTAATGCTAAAAGGCAGCTGGATTATGTATATTAATGCTGGTTTTAGCATTCTAAATGTTCATTTCCAATCCCTTGAAAATGCTCTTAACATTTAGAGGTGTTATGTTTAAAGGATTGTGTGTACTCTCTCATACACTTAGTACTTATAGCTATACACATAGGAATGTAAGATTGGTGCTTATGTAAATCCATTTATGCACTGTTTTTGTCATGATAACATTTAAATATGTATAACAAAACCATTGCTTTTCTTTGTCATATAGAAATGAAAAATGACAGAATATTTCAAAGTATGAAATGAAAAATATTTTTTAATTATAAAGTATACAGATTTCATGTATTCTGGCTGAAGGTGTTGCAAAGGTTAATAACTGGACTGCAACATCTATTGTAGGAAAATATTTTTTTAGCTTAGTCAGTATTAGCTTCCATTTAAGGAAGAATGTCTGTTAAGACCAGTGGTATTTACTAACTATGCCTGTGAAAACATTCCTTTTCACCCTCAGATGCTGGTTCAGCTGTCTTTCTTTTAAGAAAAATTATTTCAGTATATTCTATACACTTGGAAAATTTAAGCATACATTTTAATATTCTGGACAGAAAAATGTGATTGCACTTACTATGGAATATGTGACAAGGCTGTTATGGTTTTAATTACTGCAGTGCTTTTGTAGTAGTAATGATTTGCATTAACCATGTGTTTTTGCAGAGGTGAGGGTGCTATAAAGGTGCTATAACTATTGAACTTTGGATTCAATAGTTGAATCCATATTATTTTGTCTGCAGTATATAGAAATAGAGTTAATCTCTTGAAATTTAGCTATATTATATCAGAGAGCAGGTAGCTACACTTTGCCAACTTTATCTGAGCTCAGAACTAAGCTGGGTTAGGCCTGCTTAGTGCTTCAATGAGAAACCTACAGAAAATAACAATGCTATAAGCTTGAAGCTTTCTAAGATTGGAAAGTGAGGGGAGGAATAAATAAATAGAAAACTATTTCAGTGTTGCTCCTACAAAAAAAAATAGTTTGTGTCCATGAAGACAATAGATATTGAACTTGTCTTATATTTTTATATACAGACAGCAATATAAATGATAATTTTTTAGTAAGCTACATTAAGCCGCAAACTCTTTTATCTTGGAGATCAGTCAGAAATATCTCATGTAAAATATGTAGGAAAGAAAAATGAAAAGTAACTGATTAAAAAGCAATAATAGGAAATTTGGTTCTGTATGCTCTTTGGTATCACAATTTTGCTAATTTTTCCATCAGATGTCATCAGTTTGAGTCAAACCAGAAATGTACTACTAGAACATTTATTGCAGTCAAGAAATCCAGTATGAAATCAGAAATATAATATATTGTTTTATATAACTTTGGCTACTTAGTATTGTTTGGAGAAACAGCTGATGAAAAATCTGTATGTATTAACATATGAATCAATTTAATATTTTCATAATTCTTTAATATAAACAAAAATTCATAGAAGTATGCATTAGTATTAGTTCTTAGCAAAAGTAAACAACTTGAAATAATTGGACATATTAGAGAAGAGCTTGCTGATCAAAACTAGTTTAGGAATGAGTTTAGCATGGGAATCAGCACTATAAGTTCCATTTGTACAAACCTTGCGTGAGTGGAGCTTCTTGCACATGCTCATGCTTGCCCGCTGCTCATGTGTGTGGAGCTTCATGTCCGTGTGCTTGCTCGCATGAATGGAGCTTCATGCACGTATGCTTCCCCATTTCTCCTGTGGCCCGGTTTTAAACAAGCTGTAGCCCAGTGGTGCGCTGTGGCTCAGGGATTGGTGACTCCTGCTGTAAAGCTTCAGTTATGTTTTTACTTCAATATTTATTTCTTACAGCATCACCAATACTGTGCAACCCATTTCTTAAAAAAGGTTCATGACGTCTAGTTTAGTTTCCCTCAAGTAAGCTATTATATATGTGTCGGTTTGCTGATACGGAAACAAACTACAGGACTTGAAGATACCATAATATCAGGGGAACAAAATTGTCCATATTACACCTAGCCCTCCCTCCCTTCCCCCCAAAATTGGAAAATATATAAAGTTCTTGGCAGTATCTTATTTGTTTTCTTTTTAAAAAAACAAAGCAACTTGTGCTTTTAATATATCTATAAGTAAGGAGAATGTTTGTATGCTCATAGTTCTAATTTCTTCATGCTTTGAAGTCTAGCTTTTATTTTAGATGTTTAATTCACATTCTTTATTCAAAGTGATTGGAGCAACATGCATAGAACTTAACCATAGTCTAGTGATTTAGTTCTGGCTTAGAGTGATGTATGACTCCAGTTAATCTGTAAATCATTGTTTACATTCTATCTAGATGAATCAATTGTGATTTATTGACAAACTATGAGGTAACATATCCTGGCTCCGAATAGGTATCATCCTGGGAGCCAATGCAGCGCACAAAGTAGTTATCTGGGCATACTTACTGAGGTGCACCCTTGACTATGTGTCATTACATTTTAAATTAATTGAAATTTCTAGATAGTCTTTGGTAGCATTGTAATAGTCCAGTCAAAAAATGGTTAACACATGAATGACTGTGAATGTTGATTTCTGGATCAGGAATGAGCACAATTGTACACTAGATGGAGTTGTGCAATATACTTGCTGGTCACAGCTGCCACAGGCTTTTTAGTGAGGAGCCTCAAATCCAAGAGTAGTTGCAGATAATGGATGGACTCATTTGGATTCCAGAGGAAACTTCAGGTTTTTGCTAATGATCTAGAGGACAGTTTGGCTGGAGGCTTGGCTACAATCTGGAATTGGCATGTGATCAAAGTCTTGGACCACATTGCTACCTGTGCACTGATTTGGGGTGTAGATAGCATGCACAAATACAGTTAGTTCTCGTTTACCAACTGCAGTTGGGACTGACAACTCCTTCAGTAAGTGATGCAGTTGCTAAGTGAAACATCACATGATTCCAATGGACTTATGATGTCACCTCATTTGGTCATTAGGCAAGCCAACATAGATCATTAAGCAAAACATCACATGACCATGAATTTTCTGTCAGCTTCTCCATAGACTCTGCTTGTTTGAAACTGGTTGTGAAGTGTGCAAATGATGATTGGATGACTTCAGGAGGCTGCAACAGTTGTAAATACTTCACTGTAGTGAAGCACCCTAATGTTGATCATTTAACTACAAGGAGGCTGTAATGGTAATAAAGCAGTGAGGACTGCTTATAAAGTTATTTTTCAGCACCATTGTAACTTCAAACAAGTCAGTTGTTAAGCGAAATTGACCTGTATGAATACTTGTATTTAAAATTTATTCCTTCTCTGCCATAAGGCAGCTCAGTGATCACCTGGTATTGATTAAGGTACATGACAGTCTCTTTCCATGTAATTCACATACTTCTGATTTAAAATCTGTGTTTTGTCTAGTATCAGAAACTATAGCCAAATGTTATTTATTTATTTCTCAAGATAATTAGCTAATTTCAGAAGATCAAATATTTAAGTATATGGCCATCTTCTTTCTACTGTGCGAGGACAAATCGTGCACTATGAAGATAGTTTGGTGGTGGAAGAAACTTCAAATGTAAATTTCAAAAAGATTCCCTGCATGGATTGCCCCTGCCACTATGTGGGACGGATGGGAGGAGGCTAATTACCAGATTGCAAGAGCATGAGTGAGCAGTTAGGTGAGATCTGAACTCATTGGTAGCCTCACGTTGAAATGAACAAAGCCATACTTTCAATTCTCCAGCTGCTATGATTATTGGCTGAGCAGGAACAAAAGTAGCCATAAAAATGATTAAAGCCTGGAAAACACCAGCCTATCGGGTACTTAGGCGCCGCGGGCATAGCATCACAAAGAAATCACATTAACAACTTGATAGCCAGCCATCAACACCCCAGTTAACAACTAAGAACTACACAAAACCAGTAACCATATGTGTAGAGTCCAGTGCACATATTCTGGAGGGAGAGAAATTCCCTGATGATGGGCTCCAGCATAAGCCCAAAAGCTTGGAAGAATAAACCTTTGGTCCTGGTGACCGAGTCAAATTGGATCCTGTATTGATTTAATTACTTCCATACCTATAACATTTATATATAATTTTTATTAAAAACTTTAAAAATAGAGTAATATAGACTATGGAAGACACAAGGAATAGAGCTAAAGTTGAAAAAATAAAAAAGAATGCCATGCCATACCATGCTGTGATGAACATGTGGTATATATTCCCAATCCCTCAGTACTACCATTCCTAATTATGGAGTTTGACTTTTTTATTGACCTTTTGAAACCATCAACTTCTATGGAAAGCCTCCGACTTCTTGCTGGTTTGCCCATTGACTTTGCTTGTGGGAAGCTGGCAAAGAGTTTTGGAAATCACAGTCATATAAACAGTACAATGATGCTGCAGTGGCCACAACTTTGCAAATACACTATTGTGAAGACCCTTGAAATTTCAATTACCTAGGAATAATGGTTACAAGATTTTGTATGCATTCTTTAAGTTTGATTTGAGGAATCTTGTTCAAAACCTTTTGCACCATGATGGACCATTTGGGCTTATCGAAGATTACAAACAGTAGAGTTTTAGTAGTGTATAATTACAATTTACAATTTTTAAAATTAACTATCGGAATTTTAATTAAAAGGTTCTATAATGTCTGCAATTGATCTATTTCTTTCTTTTAAAACTTATCCTCAGAACTTTTCTTGCATTGAATCTCAATCACATACCAAGATAGAGTTTACCTTTGAAATATTATATTGCATTTAACCAAGCAAGTATTTAGACCAATACATTCATTATACGCAGCTTAATATGGGCAAATGATATCTGTTAACACCCAAAAGGCCATATAGTATATAGATAAATTTTGCAATATCCAAAGTTTGCTGAAATGTAGTACTTCAGATTTAATGTGCAAGTTTGAAAACACTGATTTGTTTTATTTTAGAGTTTGGATGAATATGATGATGATGAAGCAGGACAAAAAGAACGTAAAAGAGAAGATGCAATCACACAACAAAATACAATACAAAATGAATCCACTATTTCAGATCCAAATGCTTCATATATATTACAGGTGAGATGTTATAATACATATCTACAAATATCTTTAACTCTTATTTTGACAGATTTTAGTGCCAATGTTACATTGGGGGATAGATGGGGAAATCATCAAATTTGCAGCTGACACCAAGCTGGCAGGAATAGCCAACACTCCAGAAGACAGGCTTAAGATACAGGAGGATCTGGACAGACTTGAACACTGGGAGCTATCTAACAAAATGAAATTCAGTACCTTGCTCAATAGTAGTAACTGTGAGAGGGACCTCGGAGTCCTAGTGAACAATCACTTAAATATGAGCCAGCAGTGTGCTGCAGCTGCCAAAAAGGCCAACACAGTGCTAGGCTGCATTAACAGAGGGATAGAATCAAGATCACGTGAAGTATTAATACCACTCTTCAATGCCTTGGTAAGGCCACACTTGGAATACTGCATCCAGTTTTGGTCACCACGATGTAAAAAAGATATTGAGACTCTAGAAAGAGTACAGAGAAGAGCAACAAAGATGATTAGGGGACTGGAGGCTAAAGCATATAAGGAACGGCTGCTGGAATTGGTTATGTCTAGTTTAATGAAGAGAAGGACGAGGGGGGACATGATAGCAGTGTTCCAGTATCTCAGGAGCTGCCACAAAGAAGAGGGAGTGAAGCTATTTTCCAAGGCGCCTGAAGGCAGGACAAGAAGCAACGGATGGAAACTAATCAAGGAGAGAAGCAACCTAGAACTAAGGAGAAACTTCCTGATAGTTAGAACAATTAACCAGTAAAACAACCTGCCTCCAGAGGTGGTGAATGCTCCAACACTGGACGTTTTTAAGAAGAGACTGGATGGCCATTTGTTTGAAATGGTGTAGGGTTTCCTGCCTGAGCAGGGGGTTGGACCAGATGACCTCCAAGGTCCCTTCCAACTTTATTATTATTATTATTATTATTATTATTATTATTATTATTATTGTTATTGTTATTGTTATTGTTATTGTTATTGTTATTGTTATTATTATTATTATATGATATGGAAATCTTATTACAACTTATATTTATTTTGTCCTCATAACTTTGGTTATTGCCTCTTCCTTCTGAATTAATTTATAGCAGCTCTTTGTGAAAACCCAAAGAAGCGTTTGTGTACTATCATGAAGGATACGATAAAATGGCATAGCACTCTGAGAGTTATAGGATGAATCAAGAGTACCTAACACCACTTTTGGAGTATACTATGTCCAATAAGCAGATTTTTTAAGGATTAGATCACTTTTCCAACTGAAAGAGATGTCAAGGCTGAAATATAAGTAGGGGTGAAGATAATGCATAGATACACCAACATGTAACTACTTTCTGATAAAAACAATAAAAAATCAAATGTTATTGTGGTTTTAGACCAGGATTTAAGTATTACATTTATTAGTGCACTCTGTGAATATTCTGATTATATTAATTAAATTAAGTGATTAAAATTCACATAAATAAAAATCAGTTAACTGTTATAACCCACAACAACCACCTTACTAGAGCATTCCCTTATTGATAGTACACAATATTTTGCCTTTGAATTGGTTATTTCAAGAGTTTCTATCTGTTAATATAGGTAGTCCTCAAGATATGACATAATTGAGCCCAAAATTTCTGTGGCTAAGCAAGACAGTTGTTAAGTGAGTCTTTTCATAAATAATGATTTGCTGAGTTGGAATACACACACACACACACACACACACACACACACACACACACACAGAATTAATATAATTCCTGAATGTTTTGTTACCAAACTAGGTAACATCATCAGCAGGATTCTCTTGTCCTATTCTCTTTAGCTTATAAGCGTCTTGTGTGCCAGTGTGGTCAGTTGTTTGGAGCTATATTTGAATTCCGAGCAGCTGATTGGTTTTTATTTCCTATTATTTCAAAGTTATATGGGCTGATGATGTTACCTAGTTTAGTAATGAAACGTCCAGGAATTATATGAAAACAAGCTTGGAGAATAAACTACAGCCAAAATCTAAAACCCAAGCTACAAATATGTCCTATTATTATATGATATATTTAAATGTCATATATATTGTGCCTATCTATATCTTTCACTTTGGGATGTTTTTATAAGTTGCTTTGAGTTCAATTCAAGGCAAAGCTGGAATATAAATGAACAACAATAAGTTATATTTATTCCCTTCTTCCTTTATACAATATAATTTCTCATTAATACCACTATATCAAAGATGCTGCTCTAGAGTTAAGCCTCAGAATAATTTCTGTTCATTGCTCTTTATATTTCTAGTATGTAAACTCCTCTGTCTATGGAATTGTTCTGGAAACAATTCTCGGCAGAATTTTAAAATTTCCCTTGGGCTCTGTGGGCCAAAGTGTATTGGATCATTTTGTAAAAATCTTCATGATTGTGAAGCAGTATCTCACTGTAAGTGGTCATTACTGAATATTTATATTGACCAAAGAATGGTATTCTGAGACATATAAGGCACACATCGCCAATTGTTTTAAGTTATACAATAATTATAAATCAGCAGTTATAAATATTAGATACTTAATTATGTTTTTTAAATATATTTTAACAGGACACATCTAGAGCAATTGGAAACAGATACAAAAGGTAAGGAATTGCTTAGTAGATTACTGATTAGTGAAGTATAACTATGATTCTAGAAAACAAACACTCAGACTTGGTACTAAATTTCCTTGTTTAATAGAAGATATTATTTCAACTCTATAAAACCTAGAATTGTAAGTTAAGGCTCTTTCTCAACTAGTTTTATATAGCCCATGATGTGACTCCCACAATAGACTTAATGTAAGCTATAGCTTACTGAGCTACTACCTTTTGCACTGCAGAAGAGAAGTGGAAAATAAATTTTAACATTAAGAAGTTTAATTGAAAAGATGGGAGACTAAATGACCTTCTCAGGAAAATAATTCACGTTTTGTAGGATACTAGATAGAAATACCTAAGAACCAATATATTAGCAAGCTTTCACTGGTTATCTACAGATGCAGATGCATTCCAGTCATATCCACTTCAGGACATAGAGGGTCTCCTTTTTAATATGTATGATACTGCTTTTAAGTGCTACTGTTTAGCTAAACCAAGCTTTCTTAATCTATTGTGTCCTAGTCAGTGGTACTCATTTGTACCGTATCAGCAAACAATCACTCTATCAAAATTGTAAGTCTATCAACATAGGAACAAAAAGTCTACTTTTATCGATACAACCTATTTTTTTTCAATAATTCTGTAATTATATTTAGCAAATACCACAGTTTTAAGGAGCTAAATACGCCAGTACTATTTTTATTACAAAGTAATGAATAAGAAAGGTGACTAAAGCAATGTTGCTTCTATGAGAACAGATGTTTCTTAGACGTAATCCGAAAAAGACCCCCAAGACAGAGCAAATTAGCACAATATGTTTTTTCAAACTTAAAGAGAAAGTAATGGCAATAAAGCCTGACCCTTTTCTCTTATCTTCCTATTCTTCTATTTTTTTGGTACCTAATCCCCAAGAAACCGTGACACTGAAAATAAACCTATCTAAGCCAAATATTTGGAAGGGAGATGGCAAAAGAAAAGCCATTATACAATGACAGAAGGTAATGATAGTATTACCTTCCTAAAAGAAATCTACAACATCCAAAAGAAGCATAACTTTCAGAGTAGTAAAAATATAGTTTTATTACATTAACATGAGAGAAATCTTTTGCAAGATGAGTCTTCCTTTTCATTCCATTCTAAGTATCCAACATCCTCCTTTCTAGTTTTTAGAGTGTTGAACATCCTATGCCATACTCTGAAGTGGATTGTATCATTGCCCATCACAGGAAGTTTTAATGAACCTCCGTTTTAGATTTTGCATGGATCAACTTTGCAACACTCTAAAAATGGATTATCTGGACCCTTTTCTGGCAGGGTTAAGGCCTGATTTTGTGACAGATTCCACTGGTCACTCTACTACATGACCTGGATTATGAGCTGGATGGGGAAGTATGACATTCCTAGTATTAGTAGTGGCTTTTGATATACAATTGACTATGATATCCTTTTTATACAGTAATTTTATTAAATAGTATAATTACAACAGTGAAAACTAATACAAGTTGAAAAAAACTAGAATAAATGAAAATAATAGAAGGTATAGAAAAAAGGGAAAAGATAGAAAAAAGAAAAATAAGAATGTAATAAAAAAATTATAAAGAAGTGATTGCCCACATTTGTCACAAGTATAAACAATTTTAACAACTTATCTATTTCTCTTAAAATACAACAAATGATTCCCTCTTCCCACATTCTATCTCTTATCTGTAAACAAATTAATAAATTATTAATAATAATTTAATTTAATTATTAATAATAAATTACTTCAGTTCTGATATCAGCAAAAGTCCATTAAGAGTTACCTTAGTTATTTTAATTTTGATCAAGTACATCAACTTTACGTTCCTTTTATTTCTAACAATCGTAATCTTTAGTCCCTTCAAACAATATCATAGAACTTGATTTCTTTTCATTTTTTTTCTTTGTCCATTTTCGCAAAAAATTTCAAACCTTTAACAAGTCTTTTTTCTAAACCCAATATAGGGATTATGACTCAGGTCACTCTTTCTTGATTTGTTGTGTATATATCCTTTTTATTTATTAAGACATCAGCTAGAGGCAGATACTATTAATATTAACTTCTGAATTCATTGTTCAAAAATGTCCTTCAGTTTGCCCAATGTTATAATACTTTGCTTCATTCTATAATTGTACATTCAGTTTGAGTGTTCTTCTCCTTTATTTGAACACCCTCAGGTGTTCAATTTTTACAGTCTTACCCTTTAATGATTGTTTAAATTCAAAACAAAAGCAGTTTCCTATGGGGAGAGTTCTTTATAATTAATTCCAAAATCTTATTTCAAATTTATCTGGACCCTTAGTCCATTTATAAACTTCTAAAATCAAAGTTTTAATCATCCTTTTGCTGTTTATTAAAAAAATAAGCTATATAACTTATACTTAAAAGTTTTTTTTTGTTAAGGATTGAAGGAACACTTACCCAGTGCTGTTAGACCTCTCAGAACAGTACAAAAATTCCCAATAGTTGAAAAGCAATTAATAAGCAATTTCTGAAAGTAATTAGAAATGGAAGTTTATAAACCTAATGTCCTTTCAGAGGGGCTGATCACGATTTTAACAAGATGGTTATTCCCTCATCTCCCAGAGCTATAAATCTTTCAGAGACTACTGTCTTTCAGTCTCCTCACAAGAACAGCTCTCTGGAACACTTGTGGGTGATCTCAAGTCCTCTTCTTTCCTAGAGAGAAATAACAGAAGAGTTGGTCTACTCACTGGCCCTTCATGCTGCCACAGGTACCAATTCTGCTTTTCATAGACCCATCTTCAGTCCACCTTTTCTTCTTTGGAAGTTGGCCTATGGTATGTTTTTGGACTGCTTATGAAGATTAGGAAAAACAGGTGTTGTCTTGCAAGGGTTCCATATATACCCTAGTGCACAGGTCGGCAACCTGCGGCTCCGGAGCCGCATGTGGCTCTTTGAGCCTTCCCCTGTGGCTCCCAGCCTCCTCTGCCTTTGCAGAGAGAGACAGAGACAGAGAGAGGCAATTGCGCTTCCCTGCTTCTCTCTCTCTCTCTCTGTGTGTGTGTGTGTGTTTGTGTTTTTGTGTGTGTGTGTGTGTGTCTGTGTGTATGTGTAAAAGAGAGTGCACTCACAGTATTCTCCGAGGAGCTGAAAAGCTTACTGGGCGGAGCTCCTCCCTTTGCTGCATCTCTGCAGGAAGCAGGAAGCAGGAAGGGCAGGAGAGAGCTAGCTGGCCCAGCTAGGCTGACTCAGGAATTCTGGGAGTTGAAGTCCATGAGTCATAAAAGAGACGAGGTTGCTTGTTGGACAACAGCTTGAAGCTTGCCAGGTGAGCAGCAGATAGGAGGGGGGGGAGAAAGAGAGAGAGAGGGAGGGAGAGAGGAAAGAGAGAGAGAGAGAGAGAGAGAAAGAGAGCAGGGGAAGAGGAGTGGCAGACCAAAGGCAGATAGAGAGGGAGGGAGAGAGAGACAGAGAGAGAGAGAGAGACCCTTTTGACATCTAAAATGAAGATAACACTGCATATATCCTTTTTTTACCTGTGTGTGTGTGTGTGTGTGTGTGTGTGTATACACATACATATATACATATACATATACATATACATATATACACACACACACACATACATACACACACAAACACACACACACAAACACACACACACCTATAATAAAGGTAAAAAAGGATATATACAGTGTTATCTTCATTTTAGATATCAAAAGGGTTTTGCGGCTCCCAGTGTTTTGTTTTTGGTGGGAAACGGGTCCAAGTGGCTCTTTAAGTGTTTTGAGTTGCCTACCCCTGCCCTAGTGGGTAGCTTTAATCTGTATAGGTGGGGGGAGGAGAGACCAGCCCAGTGCCCATGATCTGTGGTATGCATAAAGGCTAGTCCTGTCTCTCCTGCTTTTTAACATTTATATAAAGTAACTGGAAGAGGTTATCAGGGTGGGGTATCATCAGAACACTTATGATACCCAATTGTACATCACCACATATTGGGAAATTGCTATTGCTGCTTGTTCCTGGTTTGTATTGAAGAGAGCAGACTACAATTTAATGTTATATCTTAGTTGCTGTTGATAGTTTGGGGTCCTTTGTAATCATCACTGCTACTCCTTGATGGGCAGGCTCTGTCTATCAGGGTGGTGCTTCATGACTTAAGAGTGTTTGTGGACTTAGAGATCCTTCTAGATTTGTAAGTGGAAGTCATAGTGAGAGGCCAATGCCCAGCTTTTTTTAATTTGTAGTTCTGATTGTAGCATTTTGTTTTGAAAAGAAATTCAATCTATTTTATTTTATTTATTTTATTTTTATTAGAAAAATATATCTAAACACCTTTGAATCCTAAATCCAATGCTAAAAAATAAAAATAAAATTTCCAAAAATATAAGACTATATAGTCAATAAAGAAGAATATTTGTATCTCAGAGTTAACATGAGGGGTTTTTGGTGCTCTCTCAGCTTGTAGACATTTCATTACCCAAACTAGGTAACAATATCAGTGCTGGAAAGGGAATAAATATAATGTTTATTAAAATTACTGTATAAAAAAGGATAGTCAATTCTATATCAAAAGCCACTACTAATACTATGAAGGTCATGCTTGCCCCATCCAGGTCATGATGCAGATCATTCAGTAGAGTGACCAGTGCAATCTGTCACAAAATTTCTTTCCTTTTCCTGGCCAGATAAAGAACTTATTCAAATAGACGTTAATCTTACAATTTACTAGTTATGAACCCACGTAAAACAGAATCCTGTGGGTGGAACTGCAAAAGACACTTACTTTTTTAGAAGGAAACTTCAGTCATGTGAAATGTATATGACAACTGGACAGGTCTTTTACAAAGTATGAATTCAGTAAACTTTCAAAAGTTGAATTCTAAACTTTATGTTTAGTGTTGCAACAGACACTTCCTGTTTGTAGATAATAAAGTCCAGAACAAGGAATGCCAAATATGGTAATAGTATTAAGCTGAAGAATTCCTTACAGCTCTGTCATCATGCTTTAAAACAGCCT